AGTTATGCTGTTAATATATATATATATATATATATATATATATATATATATATATATATATATATATATATATATAAATAAAAAAAGTATATTTCTAGTTTCTGGTTCTTTTGACGAGTAAAAATTGAATTAATATTTCTTTTTAGAATAACAATGATTTATTAAGATATAACTCTTGGTATTTAACCGATATCTAGGTGATGGATTCACACCATTCCGAAAGGTATTTGCACATAAGTGATTGCAAGTAAGTCGACAGGAATTCGAACTCGCTTCTTCGATTTCTCATTCCGAACGGCTAGCTATTACACCATCTACGCATAACCATTTTTCACTTCTACTATATCTGGTAATAGGCGGAACTTTAGGAAAGTAAAATATTTTTTAAATATGTCTTTCGCTATTTAGTATCCCACTGATTTTTATCAGGTTTCTTGCGCCCGCGCTTCTGCTTCTGATTTACCAACGAATACCATCACCGTAGAATATCTGCGATTGTTTCTTTTACCGTTTAATCTTTGAATATAGACTCTTGCATTAGAATCTAAAGTCATTTTGATTTCCTCATCAGTACAGAGCGCTTGTTCTTTTGTCAAATCATTTTGTAATGGTGCCAAAAAATTGAAAAGAATGAAGGGAATAATGAGAAGGGAAAACAAAATGGCATTTCTAAATCCTCACTTACTATTCCAGGATAACAGAGCAACTTGTGAACAAAATGCTGTAGGAAAATTGATTCAGGATTTTGCTAGACAATTTTTCTCATCAGAATCCATCTTACACATTATTACATCTTACACGTCTACCTTTCCTCCATGCACTGAATATTGCTGCCACACCCGATATAGTGCGTCTGCCATTTATTTAGAGTAGTGGTTCCTAACTGATTTGGGGTCAAACCCCACTTTGGTATTTCTAAAATTCTGGTGCCACCCCCCGTAATATTTAATTCCTACATATTCAAAATTTTACTGCAATTTTAGGCCATTAACTTGGTCTCTAAACAAACCGCCAAAGATCATGGCGTCCATGAAAGAGAAAAATTAAGAAAACAAAAAAATACTTAAATATACATGGTTTCAAAACATTTAATAGAGAAGTGAAATGTAGAAATATAAAATATTTGAAAGAAAGCTTATTCTGTAATATACTTTGATCATTTTAATCATGAAATAATAATGCAAAATGAAATTTGAGCTCCCTAGAAAACAATTCCCTGTTAATAACTCATTCTCGAAATGCCCTTTTATTTTGTTAGTATAGTAAGCGAAAGAGTGCACATTCTACACATGCCCCACCAAAATATTACCATACCCCACCGATAAAGCATGCACCCCACATTGGGAATCATTGATTTAGAGATTAAAATTAAAATGCGAAAAATATGCAACGTTATTAGTACTTACATGGCATCTCGGCTTCAGGGACTTTCCCAACGGCGTAACCTAGCTTCCCTGTGTCTTTTCTATAAATATTTTCATGGTAATTGTTTTGGTGGTCTTTACTCTTTGATATGTAGATTCAAGTACAGTATTAGATTGGCAACAATGTTTCCCTATTCTACAGTTGAAATGGTTAGATGTAGCCGTAAGTTCTTTGCTAAAAGTTTCTTCACTCGCATCTCTCCTTTGGGGAGCTCTCTTTCAGCTTCTAATTTTCCAGTCAACATAGATCTTCAAAATATAAATGCAATGTCAATCGTTATCTTCTGTCTTCTTATTTCTTATTCTTTTCTTGTCCACTCGCCTTTCTCATATTCTCTAACACTCAGTAACCTCTTTGCGTCCTAGTGGCTTTATTGCCTTTGACCTTCAAATATTTAAATGCAATGTCAATCGTTATCTTCTGTCTTCTTAATTCCAGTTCTTGTATTGTTCTCGCTCTCTCTCTGTCTCTGCCTCTCTCTCTCTCTCTCTCTCTCTCACTAATGTTTCCTTCTCATTTTCTCTCACATCCTGTGATCGATTTTAATTGTGAAAACTTTAAATAACCTATGAATACATCAATAGAAATATTCTTGTAGCCACTCTTTATAAAATCGAACACTAAATGCTGCTTGATAATAATTTTTATGTTTCAAAAACGAATTCTCTGGAGAAATAAAATCAATTTAATGTTTGTGGTAAATAACTCCGTTGCAATCGAAATCCCAAATCAGAAAATTTAAATCGGCGAAATAAAGTCAAATGTTGCTTTGATTAACAATTTTTTGTATTATTTGTTAAATTATTTTAAGCTTATGGCATCTGAAAAGAAAAAAAAATCACATTAAATTATTTTTTAATTTTTTTATAATATTTAAGTAAAGTCTGAAAAGTTTGTTTTCAAATGTTTCAAAATTCTTTATTTCTTTCCGCCCTTGATCGCGCCAGAAATGCTGCCGTTAAAAAATAAATTTGTAATAATCGAGAAACCAATAAATTTATCAATAATAATTAACTGCTATATCTTTTTAAAGATACGTATGACTTTAGTTTGTATGGAAGCCTTTTGCGCAATGAACGGGCCTTTTTATCTTGTATGGGCAAAAACATTTGTATAGCATATTTTAATGTACGTAGGATAATTTTCCAGAGTTGGCAGATAGTTTATGTCTATTTAAATGTCATCACTTTGTATCTCATAAGAATATCTACGATTATTCAGTCCATGTATGTATGTATGTTTTTGTATTTTATGTTTGTAATGGTCTCGGTTTTAATTTCCCTTAGAATGTTGCCACAGAATTTGATCTAACGTACAATAAGACCAGGAATGCTCACAATGTGGATACTATAATGCCAGTGTCACAATGTGCCTTCCAACCTAATAATGCAATATGATTTTCAAAGCGTGGCAAATCCAAGAGAAGGCGTTTGAAAAAAGACAACACGGCTCTTTCAGGCCTTTGTAGATAATGCCGAGGCCTTCGACGTTCTAAACAGAGAACTTCTTTGGAAGATCCTCAGAGGCTTACACTGTTTTCGCCATTTTGTAAATATCATCCAGTCGTTTCTTGATAACATGGAGGTTGTAGAATAAGTGGCCATGTTTAGATATAAATGGCAGAACTGCTCAACAAACAGAATTGGCACAGTTTGCAATTTGCAAGAAAAAGAAAACAAAAAGGGCAAAATATTATATAATGTAAGCAAACAATATATGCAAGGCATATTAAAATTAATAAGGCAAAGCAATATGGCAACAAGTTATCAAACTAAGAGTTGGGGTTGAAACACAAAAGCAAGTTTGGATAAGCGAACGTAACCTTCTAACTTGAAGACTAGACAGACTGGGACTGAGTAAGATGAAACTGAGAACTGTCCTATTTTATTGCCTAGGAAGCGATCCCAGCATGCATTTGCCTACATTATTCTTCATTTTATTTTCTGTTCTTCTTCATGCATTTAAGGACCGTGACTAGGATATATACAGGGTGACTGATAAGTGACTACCCATTTTAAAATACTTATAATTTATTTATTAACGATTATTTTTTTACAAGAAACGGATATGAGAGGAAAGCGTTTAGCATGTGTTTTTATTTAAAGTTCGATATAGGCACCAGATTTCGCTACCAGCTTCTACCAGGATTCGTGTCAACTGATTTTACCAGGAACTCTTGTGGTATGGAAGACATAACTTCTTGTATTTGCACTTCAAGTTCTTCCAAAGACTTGGTTTAGTATAGTAGACTTACCTTTAATTAACTCCCAAAGAAGAACGTCACAGGGTGTTAAATCAGGACTTCCGGTTGGACACTCATATATAAAATAGGAAGTTACTTTTTAATCATCTTGTATATATTGAATAAAGTACAATTTGTAAAGTATTCAACACCCGACGCTTTTCTGACAAATCTAATACACTGCAATTTCTTGTCCGAGATTTTCTCTATGTTAATGGCCGTGACTTAGTCCAACAAATAGAACAGAATTTGAAAGCTCTGAAGGATAATTATCCCCATTCATAAAAAGATTTCGGTCTCACTATTAATCTAGACAAGACAATGGTCATGTTTAATCTGGGCGGTGTAGACCTTACACGAATCATCAATATTTGGGGATAGAAACAAAATGAAGTCGGTAGACAAATTTAAATACCTTGTGTGCTCTATAAATAGATGCCGAACAATTATTGATGAAATACCTCCTTGAGTAAAGAAGGCAACTGATTTTTTTGTAGCTCTAAATGGTCGAGCCTACTATCAGAGAATTTAAAAGCAGAAGGACGGTAGTCTACAATATATGTGTGCGGAAGTGAGTGCTGTGTGCCTGTGAGACATGGGTTGCGTACAGCAGACAATTGAACGCTCTGAAGGGATTCCATCAACGATTTTTAAGGTCGATTATTGTTATCCACTGAGTGTCACACACTCCAAACAATCGCCCTCGAAAATACAAATGCAACTATCATTAAAGTACACATTTATCGCCACAGGCTTATTAACCTTGAATACGCAGACAGTTGTTCAACAAATAGTTACTCTACAACACCCGACTCCAGTAGAAAACAAAAAAATCCTCCACGGAGGCTTCAAATTAGTGTGCTGCATAGGATTGATATTAGCCGTACAATAAATGAAGTAACTAAGATATTCGAAGTAAATGCAATGCGTTGAGCAAATGTCAAGCGTGCAGCAAAGAAAGGGGAAAGGAATGCATTCATTTACATGTGATGAATGTGGCAGAGTATGTGTCTCCAATGCAAGCCTCGTTATTCCCAAGAAGACTCGTATTGAAAGATCTATCACAAATTACGATCAGTACTATGCTTAAAATTACTTAACATGCAGTGTATGTCATAAAACATGTAGAAAACGGGTCATACACACTGGTCACATGAAAACCAACGATCAAGCTGAACAGAATTTACAAAACATGCCAAGCCCTGTACAAACATCTTATTTTGTCACATCTGCATTAAGCGCTGCAAGTTACCTGCACATTTAAAGAGACATTGTCGTTCTTATGAGAAACAAAATATTGACCGGACCTGTCAGCGATGGCCATACTCGTTTAATGAGTCGATTTCAATCTATCTATCTATCTATCTATCTATCTATCTATCTATCTTATTCTGCTCATATTTGTCTATCTGTCTATGTTTCTTCAGATCTATTAATGCCACCCTCTGATCTATCTATCTATCTTAGTATGTTTATATCAGTCTATATATTTATCTGTCTTAGTCTGTTCATATCTATCTATTTCTGTTCATAATTGTCTATTTATATATCTGTCTATGTTTCTTCAGATCTAATAATGTCACCCTCTAATCTATCTATCTATCTATCTTATTATGTTTATATATGTTTATATATTTATCGTAGTCTTTTTATATCTATCTCAGTCAGTTCATGTCTATTGCAAGTGATGATCATACTCGTTTCACCAGTCGACTACAATCTATATCTATCTATATGTGTGTGTTCGTCTCTCTCTCTCTCTCTCTCTCTCTCTCTCTCTCTCTCTCTCTCTCCCCATCAATGTCACTTTCTCTTCTATGTCGGTCTGTTCATATCTATCTCGCTATCTCGGTTTGTTCATTATCTATCTATCTATCTATCTATCTCAGTCAGTTCATACCTCTATTTCAGTCAGTTTATATCTATCTATTTATCTATCTATCTCAGTCAGTTCATATCAATCTATCTATATATCTATGCCTGTTTCTATCTCTCTATCTATCTATCTATTTCATTCTCTTTCTGGCTATATTTATTCTATGTATTCAGATCTTTCTATGTAGCTAGATTTTATTCTATTCATTTTGTCCCTTTATATTTCAATCTGCTTCTCGCGTACCATTCCCCTTCTATCAGTAATTTGTAGAGAATTACTTTATATCATGCACATATCTGGTAATTCTACGAAACAACAGATGTCACTGCGTGTGTCCACCATATGTTAACTTTTTGAAGGTAGACATTGTACTTTGATTTTTGCACAGTTAGCACCAAAGGAATTACATAAATTAACAATCGCAACTGGTCGACACGAACTGACCATTGAACGTGCGCCATTACGCGGAATGTGGTATTATCTGCTACCCGAAAAACCTAAATGGTATAGAATTCTTCTCTCAACTTTGTTTTTAACGTTTCTAAACTTTTTCTTCTGTTTTCTCTTTTTTTTCTTTTTTTTTTGTGATTCTTTTGTTTTTTTGCTTATTTTTTTTTGCTTATTTTTTGTTTTTTGCTGTTATTTTCGTTTTTTGCTTTGTCTTTTTTTTTGATTTTTGCTTTTTACTTTTTTTTTAGATTGATTGAAGATAGAGAATAGTGTTTTGAACTTGAGAAATGAAACGTTAGGAATTTAATTTTTTGGTTGTTTGAAAACATATCAACGAGACAAAATGGAATAGAAAGAAGTTATTGTCTGAGAAGTAACTCAATTATCTCTGTCAGTAAAATCTACCATTTACCAAAATAATCAGTTTATTCAAACACCAATCGTCTCTTATTAACGACCAGGATGCGGGCGGCAACACGACAGCATGATTTTGCGGGCGAAATACTTTGCTTTCATCATTTGCGAGGAAAAAAAATGATGGCGCGTTAAAATTTATGTAAGAATTCGTGTGTAGTAGATGTTGTTGGCCAAAATATATAAAAATAATTTCGTTGTGTATATGTGTAGTGATATATATGCTTAAGTGTGTGAATTTGAGTGCGTGTGTATAGGTATAGTTATATTTCTGTATATGCGTTTAAGATCGAGTAAGAAATTAAGTATGTCTGAATAAGTCCGTGGCATGTTATATAGATGTCATATAAGAAGAAAATAAGTAACTACCGACACCAAGGTTCGAACGTGACACTCTGGACTTATGAATACATGATTTCCGCCAGGTGTATAAATATCGGTGTCAGACTACTGACTGCAGTGATTATTGAGTGGAACTATCCAGTCGAATTAGTGTGAATTATTGTGAGTCTATGATTTGGGTTTTGATTTAGGATTTACTGGACGTTAAGCCGAGTCACGCTAATAACAAGGTATTCACTGAAATGGTTAATTATCTTTGGTTGACTTTTACTTCTTTGTTGTTGTTAAGTATTTATTTATGGTTGTAATTAAATACTGTTTTATTTTAACATCGAAGTCTTGAGTTATACCACTGTACGTCACAAAAAATAGCTTTCAATTGAATTGTGACATGATTGATCTTTATGATTAATATCCACAATTGAATTAAGTGCATTAACAAGAAAATATCTAGAATTGAAAAAAATAGATATTTTCTTGCGTCAGATAAATATTTTTACATTACTAGTCTACAAACCTAATCATATAACTTAGACAGATTTTAAATGTGAATTAAGTTTAAGGGACTAATGATTTTTTTCTTTGTCTTTCAGATTTAACAACGTAAATTTCAACCATGGAAATATTAACAATCAAGCAACGTGTTAAAGTTATCGAAGCCTATTACAAAAATGGACGTTCAAATTTATAAATATACGGCCCAATGATTCCGCTAGCAAAAAATGCACACCGAACAGTGACCTTCTGTTGATGCAGTGGCTTTTCAACAATCTTCCTTGGATTTTCATCAACCCAAATGTGACAATTCTGCTTATTAACGAATCCATCAAGATGAAAATGGGCTTCATCACTAAAGAAAATTTTTTTGGTAAAAATCTTTATCAGCTCGTCTTTGCTCGTGAACCCGACTGACGAATGTACGGCGCTCCAAATGGTCAGCGAGTTTAAGTTCTTATGTCAATTGAATTTTGTAAGCGTGTAGAGGAAAATCTTTTGTCAAAATTCGATGTAACTTTGTTGTGGAGAGGTTCAATTCCTGCGCGCGATGACGAATGAAGGTGTCTGGTTTTTCGGCCACATTCTCGTGCACTGCAGCAATGTTTTCAGCTGAACGGAGTAAACGAGCACGCAATGGTGTTTTCACATCTGCCACCGACCCAGTTTGAATTTACAAACAATTTTTCCACTTGAACTCTTGGTTGGTTGATTATGTTGACTAGAATAAAATCACGAAGCGTGAAATGCATTTCTGTTTGAACGTCCATTTTCGTAATAGGCTTCGATAGCTTTAACACGTTGTTTGATTGTTAAACTTTCAATGTTTGAAATTGCCAGACTTAAGTTTTTAAACCTGAAAGAAGAAGAAAAAATCATTAGACGCTTAAACTTAATTCACATTTAAAATCGATCCAAGTTAATGGAACACCTTTAATATTCATTCTTGTCGTTTCTTTTTATTTATTTACTCAAACGCAAAGAAGATATTTAGATATTTCAATTTTAATATTTACTAAAGTATATATACTATATATTACTATATAAAATATATTGTAGAACAGGTATACTGACTTTGACTTGTATAAAAATACATATGCTGTTGGCACACTGAATGATTTGAAAACCCTAAGTCGGCACATAGTAAAAGGTTTCCGACCTCTAACCTAGACAATCTAGCGGAATCTGCTGTATAAGAACTTAAATAGGTAAGACAATTCGAACAAAGCAAATAATAGACATTATCAGTTCATATATTCAGACAGCGATGTATTCTTTATTTATTTTAACATAACATTCCACTGAACGATTCTTTCTGAATTATTTAAGTTTTTAATATTTTTTTATTTTTCTAGTTTATGGAGATGATGCGACCTGGAAATTTCTCATTCAAATTCTGTTTGAACGTCCATTTTCATAATAGGCTTCGATTACTTTAATTGTTCTTTAATTTCTTCCATGGTTGAAATTGCCAAAGACTTAAGTTGTTAAATCTAAAAGAAAAACAAAAAAATCATAAGACGCTTAAACTTAATTCACATTTAAAATCGGTCCAAGTTATTGGAACACCCTACATTTAAGTATGTCTATGTGTCTGTGTGCATAAACTACGTTCTGGGGGAAGTTTTCATCATTTGGAAATGCCACTAAACAGAATATAAATTAATTTTACAAAAAAGGTCGTTTTCAAGAGCGTTAAAAAATTATTTTCTTTCTTTTGGTTGTATATGTAAAGAGATGAGAAATTTTAAAATATAATATTGACTGAATTTCTTAACTAAAGTCTATAGAAAGATAGATTAATGTATATTTGGGCAGCAACCTTTCTTTAAAAACATCTTTCTTTAAATATGAAATCCATCTACCTCTCTCTATCAGTTCATATCTATCTTTCTAAACATCTTTCGTTAAATATGGCAGACAAGGAAGATTTAATTAATTTTTTATTTATTTTTTCCCGGCATCCTTACGTTTATCCGTTTTGTAAGAGCATGGGAGTACAGAAATTTTCCATAATTTTCATGGTCCCAAGCACTTTCGACAACTTTTTTTGACATTTTCCATGATATTTTGTACGGAAAGTAAGGACCTACGAACATCAAATTGTCTTTCAAGTGTCGAAAGAAGAATTATCATTGAACACCTAAAAGGTAAGCTAAAATATTAATGCAGTGATCAGTCTTGAGTTCTCCTGTAGTTTATTGTTGCCTATCGCATCTACTCCTCCCTGCTTAACGTGATGAAGGCTCAGTCAAGAGTCCTCTGCAGGAGCTAGTTTAAGTACTGCCCAAGGGAAGCTCTAAGGTAGTATAGTGTTATGGTCCGGTTCCTTGTACCACGGTGATAGTCCAAGGTAGAACCAATAAAGAAGAACTCGAACACGGATATGGAATAACACAGATATATTACAAACAGGAATATATACAGAGAAAGAGAAAGTGTTAGTACGAACAATCAGGTTTAGTAGTAATTGTCTGACCGCGACTCTGTTTCGGACTGCCTCTGACTCGACTGACTGACTCACTCGCTCTGACTGACTGACAGACTCCTGACGGACCTCACTCCAAACTTCAAACTGACTCCCTGCTTCCTCTTGAGGCGAAGTATTTATTACGTATGGAATAGTCCATTATGTTATTATGGGTAAGGTCCCATAATATATATATATATATATATATATATATATATATATATATATATTTATTTGTTAAAACCAAAATGACAATTGTAAAAAAAAATCTTAGATTTTGCAGACGCGTTTCGTCTTCCGACTTTTTCAAGGCAAAAATGAAATCGAAATGTCTTTGTTGTTATAGTACATTAAAAAATCCAAATTTAAAAAGATAGACGCTTCCGTCTAAGCCTTTTTCTGGGTAATGTAAATTTCCTTTATCTGGGAATTTAACTGTATTGTAGACATGGAAAAAAATCTCTTAGTATAAAAGAAATTTACATTAACCAGAAAAAGGCTTAGACTGAAGCGTCTATCTTTTAAATTTGGATTTTTTAATGTACTATAACAACAAAGACATTTCGATTTTATTTTTGCCTTGAAAAAGTCGGAAGACGAAACGTGAGGCAAAATCTAAGTTTTTTTTTACAATTGTCATTTTATACCAATTTGTCTTGTCCACAAAATTGATCTGGGAATTTAACTATATATATATATATATATATATATATATATATATATATATATATATATATATATATATATATATATATATGACCTAACAGTTTGTAAATATATGCTAGCTACCATAGTTCTTTAAGGACAGTAAGTAGTTTTTTGCGAATGGTAAGGAAGATTATGTTTCATGTTTCTTTAAACTATTTTGATAAACTTGCACACTGTTAAGTACACTCATGTACACAACGACTCTATTTTGTATGCGTTTTTCCCCCTTTTTTATATTACTATTATCATTAGTATTAGTATTTTTTATTTCCGCTTATTTTTCGCATCCCCCATTTACTGACAATGAT